TTATAATTAGTGATGCATTAATGTGTAAACATCACGAATGTTGCAGCTGATAAAGGTGAAGCTGATTTAAGAAAATTCTTTTGAGGTGATAGCGCCCTCCAGAGGACACACTGCCAACTGCTACAGAGCTCAACCATCCATGCGTTTCTATTGGTGGTGACGTTTAGAAGGAGGGGCCAACACAATCACCTGGTTTAAGAGTTGTGTTGAGAAGTGAGGAAGTGATGACGTAACCAATAAGATGGAAGAAGAAGAAGAAGAAGAGGAAGAAGTGAAGAAGGAAGTTGGGTCACAGCTACATGTTCACTCAAACACTTTCTAACGCTCCATTTTGTCTCTCCAGCTGTGAGTGTGTAGAAGTCGAGGCTGTTGGGTTTTAACGCTCTTCTATTGTTCTTTACTATTGTTTTGATGAGCTGATGAATTAAACTCTGTGATTAGAAGCTGAAGACTACAACGGCCATGTTGTTCCTGGACTTCATCCTTTATATCTCAGGTATGAATGACTATGAATATTAATAACTATTGACAGTAAATGTGGAAGAACAGAGGATGTAACATATCATGGCTCTGCTGAAGGATCAGAGTCAGGTTGTAAACAAATATTGAAAGATGGAACATTTAAAAGAGTGCAGATTACATCACATGTGAGCTCTGAAGATGATCACTTCACCTGATGCTTCCACTCTTTCTTTCTTTCTTCTCTTCTCTATTGTGTGCAGAACAACAATAGAGTTCTGAATGGTTCTTCTGGTTCTGAGTCCACTGAACAGACTCTCAGAGTGTATTCCTCGCTATCACAACCTTGTGTTGTGTTCACTGTGTTTGATTTCTCAGGTTGGTGTGAAGTGTAACAAACTTCATGGACACACTTCCTCAACAACTACAGACTGAATCAATATGATCTAATGGGTAATAATCTACTCCAATAACCAGCTGCATATGCCCACTATAAAAGTAGCGTCAGCATAGCTGACCAATCAGGAAGTGCAGAGCGGAGAACATGCAGACCACACAGTGGGCTTAGGAGTGACAGGACCCTCTGGTGGTGAAGGGTCTTTAAGTGATCAGTCACATGACTCATAAATAGTTCACTGATTAAAACACTATTTCCATGTCTGAGGATTTTACAAAGAAGGTCAATTCATTTCTAGAAGCTTTAGAAACAGGAAGTGTTAAACATCTACATGTGAGTAAATATTTATCAGCTAAATCAAATAGTTTACAGGATGTTCAACCTTTGTTTCTTTATTATACATTTAATAGTTATTTCTTTACAGGGTTTGTATAAAGGTGATGAAGTAGTTTATGAGATATGAGTTTACAGATAATTACAATCCTTCTTCAGTAGAGGAACCGTCTAATTACTGGATCCACACGGTAAGAGCTTCACCAGAACACAGATCTCTCTCACCGCCTGCTTTTACCTGTTTGCTCATTCTAATGATGGTTTATTCCATGTATTCATAATCAGCTGCTGTGTTCTGTGTTTCCTTTAATCCTGATCACAACCATATTCAACTTGTTGGTTTTCCTCTGGTGTTTTTAACATTGCAGATTGATATTTTCAAAGAGCCTGCTGACACAGCGAGGCAGTGTTCTCCAGTGATGAGCGTGTTGGTTTGGTTCTGTCTGGTGTGTTTGTAGTAAAAACAGGAGGTAGAGATACAGAGAGGAGACATGAGGGCAGAGAGCGCTGCAACACTTTTATACTTCTGTGAAAAGTCATTTAATGTGCTGCATTGTTCAAAATAATGTTGTGTTGTAACAATAGTTCAGGTCCAACATGGCGTCTCTCTTCATTCTAAGCACTGGCAGTTCAACAAACATGAATCTTTGACATCGTTATCTGCAACAAGACTTCCTCCACGTGTGACGGTGCTTTTATTGAACCCATTACAGGCTGATCTCCTCTCAGTGATCAGAGATGGAGGTTCACCCGACCACTACATGGACTGTTGTTATAGTGTAATATGAGGTGTCGCCCCGATCCGTATAACAGCGACCCCCCTTTGGCTGCAGCACGGCCCGGTTGGGAGCCGGAGAGAAGAAGAGAGAACGAGCCTAATTTAAAAAAAACGAATTACCAATCAGGGTTAACTTGAAGATCAGAAATAGGTAATCAGTCAAAGTGATGAAATAACACAGACTGTAACTTCTCTCACACAGAGGATGCTGATGTTGGAGAGACTTCAGAGAACAGAGGAACATCCTCCTGTCAGAGCGAAGGTAAAGCTGCTGTATTCTCTGGTTAGTATGGAAGCCCTGAGACAAGAAAGTGTGCTAAATGTTTTCATAAATACCCTCTGTGAGAGACATCATGACTCCAAAGAAGCATTCAATTCATTTATCTAGAAGAAAAGGCCAAACAAGCTGTTTAAAATGTACAAGTTTCATTTTGTGGAGTTTGAGTGAACATCATCAGACCTGCAGCAAACACTTTCACTTCTGCAGCTACAGCAGGAAGTTCAGTCCTAACTTCTGACGGACACATGGACACACATGTACTGGTTGAAGTGGTTTTGATCCGGAGGCCCCCCCCCCCCTCTTTATAAACACTATTATATGTTCATTCCAATATCATGCCAGAACAAGGTCGAGTGTGTGGTTATTCATTATTAATAATATGATTAATTTAGGCTGACATCTTCTTCTTGACACAGCCAGGTTCCAGTAAGACAAAATGAATCAACATCTGATATCTAAGAGTCCACATGTGTAGAGCTCCTCTTCTACTTATTTGTTGCTACTGTAGATGACTATAGCTGGACTTATTAGCTGGAAAACACAATGGGACTGCAGCATGAAGCCTTACCTAGTCCAAGTTCAAATCTGATAACAAAACCACAAAATATGAATATTTAGGGCAACGTCGGGCCGCGAGGTCCCTATTGATACTGTAGGAATTATTATTATTATTATTATTATTAGGGCCTGAGCACCGACGTAGTCGGAGCAGATTTTCTGCGAAACTTGCAGTGTGATTGGGGTGTCCAGCTGCAGTATGAAATAATGGCTCGATAGCGCCCCCTATTGAGTAGCCCCAACATCGGGTTTCACCTAGCTGTATGAAATTTGGTAGGTATGTGGATCGTGATGGGACGCACAAAAAATCCTCTTGGAATTTTTCTCTAAACCAAACAGGAAGTTGGCCATTTTTAATTCTATGACGTTTTTTGACCATTTCAAGGCGTCATACTTTAACGAACTCCTCCTAGAGATTTGACCAGATTGACTTCAGATTCGGTCAGTATGCTCTTGAGACCTTGGCAGTGAAAAGTTACTCAAAGATCAAAAAGTTATCGAACTATGTGTTCGTGGCGTGGCGTCAAAAAAACACCATTCACCGTGAAACAGGAAGTTGTTGTAACTCGGCCGTACATTGTCGAATCTGCTCCAAATCTCTCATATGTCATAACATCCTGACCCGGAACACATCTATATGATAATTTAGAATCATAGTAATAGCGCCACCTAGTGGCAACTGGAAGTTGTAAGTTGTGTACTTTGACATCCTGCTCCTCACAGATTAATCAGATCCCTCTAAAATGTTGTCAGAACAGCCTTAAGACGTTGATAATGCTTCATTGTGAAGGTTGTAAGAAGTTGTTGAAGGGCGGCGACGTGGCGGCTCGGCGAGTTTCGATCCTTCGCCATGAACGAATAAACTGATGTAACTCAACTCCACATCATCAGATCTTTACCAGATTTCACAGATTTGATTAGACTCCAGGCCTGAAGACATCTGCAGGCCAATTTTGAATCATAGTCATAGCGCCACCTACTGGTAACAGCAAGTTAAAGTCTTTATACTTTGGCTTGTTTGTCTTAGTAGGTAAATCAAATCAACATCAAATTAGTTCCACACAAATATAAGAAGTTAATGCCAGTTCATGAAGCTTTTGATGTTTCGTAGAACGCCGTTGCCATGGCGACGCAGTCTTCGCCATGAAAAACTAAGGTGTTTTTGAGAGACTAAAAATGCTCAAAACATAACCAAACTTGCCAAACACATTTAAAATCCTGAATGTTGTTATCTGATGTGATTTTAATGCTTCAGTGTGGCAAGTCGGCTCGATAGCGCCCCCTACAATATTTCAACGATGCAGCCCTCGCAGTACGTTTCACTTCTTTATTCAATCTTCCCCAAATTTCTTATGCATGATGCTGGTCCAGCACCATGCTTGAGCATGCTTTGAGCATGCTTGAGTGCTTGAGCACATTTCCATGCCAACATTTTCACAAAGTCATAGCGCCACCTAATGGAAAAAGGAAATGACAAGTTTTATACTTTGATGTACTCCGACTAGGAAATTGCCCAGATCAGTCTCAAATTTGGTAAGGTAATTTGTAAGACATTGATAATACTTCATCATGAATATTGTGAGTTGTTGTTAAACGCTGTTGCCGTGGCAATGCTCTATTCGCCATGAAAAATGAAGCTTATATTTCTGTGACTTAGGATGCTCAACAAGCCTTGGAACTTTGCACAGGTGTCATAGGTGATGGAAATAAATATTTCATATGGCCTTTTGGCTTGACCCTTTCAAATTGCCTCTATAGCGCCCCTTCAAATATTCAAAATCGCAGCCCCAGCACTACGTTTGACATACATGTATGAAATTTGGTAGGAACATGTATCACATGAAGACTTAAAAAAAAGTATCTTAGGACCTTGCTCTAAAATGAATGGGAATTCAGCCATTTTAATTTGTGTGAAATTTCCATTGATTTCTAGTCGATATACTTTACCTTGGGACTTTGTCAGATCCTTTTCAAATTTGGTCAGAATAATCTAAAGACCTTTGCAATTAAAAGTTACTCAAAGCTTTACGTTTGATGAAATGGCGTAGCCGTGGCGTGGCGGCCATTTTACTTGATTCGCCATTAAACAACAAGCTGATGTAACTCCACTGGACTTGCTCAAATCTGTCCCAAACTTGCCATACTGATAATAGTCATGGCCTGAGGATGTCTACAAGCCAATTGTCACTCAAAGTCATAGCGCCACCTACTGGCAACAGGAAGACAGCATTATGTGACAAACGGAATACGATTTACATGATATTTACATGATGTGGTCTATACTTGATGTAGACCAACATAATGCATGTTTGCGCGTGTTTTATAGCACCACATAGTGGATACAGGAACAGGTGGAATATTTGCATTACATCATTTACAGCGTCACACAGTGCACGCATTAAAAATAAGTCGAACTTGTGGGCACGCTGTCTGATGGTCGCATATATTTATGGCCACGTCTGCCGGCGTCCCGCTAGTACTCCCGAGATGCAGGAAGGTGCGAGGGCCTTAATTTACACATGTTTTTCTCAGGGTATGTCTCGGCGCTTTCCAAAAAAGGACATTTGGGGACCCGTTGTAACCATAGTAACAGGCCTAGGCTGTGTAAAAATGTTTATTCATAATTCAAACTAAAGCTTATTTATGTTGATATACAGTTATCTATAAGTTATTTTGCTATTATTTACTTTTCTAAATTCTCCTAAACTCTTACAAACAGTTTGGATTTACTGCATGGACACAGGTACATATCTCGCGGTTTCACAGTTACTTCCTCGCTCTGCCTCTAAATCTAACCCCTGAAGCTGCATATCGTTATTTTCGAAATGTCATTGGCTATACGAAGCGTCAGTCATCAGAACGATCGGTTAAAATTGGCTCGAGTTTTACACGAAAGAAGAGGGGCATGCACTGTCCTTCAACGCGGACTCTCGTTGGCTATTGTAGGCTGTGGACAGTACATGGAAGCTCCTATTGGGTCAAGTGAGGTGTCAATCTAAAGGTCAGAGTGCAGCCGCCATTTTGAGATCCAGAAAACGGCAATATTTACATGTGAACTGGAGAAATACATAGATAGTTAGGCATATCTGCCGGCTAATTTCAAATGATGCAACAGCAGTCCATGGGTATTTATTGACGTAATAATGTAAAGGAGGAGTACTTCAGGAAGAGGTTCAGTGATGAGGAGCAGGCCAGCAAGATCATCTCCCACATCAAGACCTCACGAAGCCTCCACATCATGTGCCACATCCCAGTCTTCTGCTGGATCACTGCTACAGTTCTGGAGGATGTGATGAAGACCAGAGAGGAAGGAGAGCTGCCCAAGACCCTGACTGAGATGTATGTAGAATTCTTGGTGTTTCAAACTTATCAGACAGAAGAGAAGTATGACCAAAAAAAGTTCAATCAGTACATTACGTCATTAGCAAAACTGTCTTTTCACCAGCTGGAAGAGGGCAATCTGATCTTCTATGAGAAAGATCTCAAAGAGAGTGGCATTGATGTCAGTGAAGCCTCAAAGTGCTCAGGAGTGTTCACAGAGATCTTCAAAGAGGAACGTGGGATGAAGAATAAAAAAAAAATCTTTAGCTTTGTCCATCTGAGTGTTCAGGAGTTTCTGGCAGCGTTCTACGTAAGAATGAAAGTCATTAACCGAAACAAGAATGTGATGTTGGAGCCAGGGCAAACTTGTGGCAAAACATCTATAACAGAGGTCCACAGGTCTGCTATTGACAAGGCCTTGAAGAGTTCAAACGGACACCTGGACCTGTTCCTCCGATTCCTCCTGGGTCTTTCACTGGAGACCAATCAGGCTCATCTAGAAGACCTACTGACAATGAAAAGTAGCTCACAGACCAATCATGAAACAGTCCGCTACATCAAGAAGAAGCTCAACGAGAAACTGTCTCCAGAGAAAAGCATGAATCTGTTCCACTGTCTGAATGAACTGAATGATGGTTCTCTAGTGGAGCAGATCCAACAGTTCCTCAGATCAGGACGTCTCTCCACAGATAAACTGTCTCCCGCTCAGTGGTCAGCTCTGGTCTTCATCTTACTGACATCAGGAAAAGATCTGGACGTGTTTGACCTGACGAAATACTTTGCTTCAGAGGAGACTCTTCTGAGGCTGCTGCCAGTGGTCAAAGCCTCCAACAAAGCTCTGTAAGTACCCAGATAACTTTCTTTAACAGCTTTATCACATGAGCAGAGTAGTTCTCAACTAATGAAAGTCTTCTGTTGCCAGATTTAGTAAACAAATTGATCAGTTGATCAATTGAAAAACATGCAAATTGTTTCTTCAGTTTCATTGCAACTCCACAGATTAATGTAGGTTTGAAATGAAAAAAAAAATGTCACTTTGTCATTCATTCAAGAGTAAAAGTTACTGGGAATTGGGATCCATTAATTGCTTTTAGATTCCAGCAATATACACAGTAAAAGGCAAAAATCCTCTCGGCACCTGAGACTCGAATCCTCAATTTATAAACTGAGAAATGTTGTATTTTACACTGTAGAAGGAAAAAGATCAGTATTGTGTTTGTCTTCATCACTAACTCTCCTTCAGGCTGAGTGGCTGTAATCTGTCAGAGAGAAGCTGTGAAGCTCTGTCATCAGTCCTCAGCTCCCCGTCCTCTAGTCTGAGAGAGCTGGACCTGAGTAACAACAACCTGCAGGATTCAGGATTCAGGCTGCTGTCCGCTGGACTGGAGAGTTCACACTGTCAACTGCAAACCCTCAGGTCAAGTTTAACAAACCTATAAATGGTGAACCAGAACTTTCATATGGTGCATTGTCATTTGTCTTGAGCCAGTTAATAATGTTTAATTCATGACAGTACTGCCTATATAAATATAAGTGTAAGTTATATAAAATGTAGATATAAATGTTTTCAGACATGTGATGTACATATTTTAGGTTGAGTGGCTGTAATCTGTCAGAGAGAAGCTGTGAAGCTCTGTCATCAGTCCTCAGCTCCCCGTCCTCTAGTCTGAGAGGGATGAACCTGAGTAACAACGACCTAAAGGATTCAGGAGTGAAGCTGCTATCTGCTGGACTGGAGAGCCAACACTGTCAACTAGAGATTCTCAGGTCAGGATTCGTCTTCTGTTTAACTGATAACCATTTAAATGTTGATGTCTAGGGGAGACATCATGTATTTACATTATAACAATTGATCAACAGTTTCAAACTGCTCATTGAGACCTCCAGTCATCCCCTTCCTCTTCTGAGCCTTGTCACACAAAGAGATCTGTCTTTATTACCCTTGGTTACCCCTGGAAATCTTCACATCTAAACATTCTCTGTTTAAACGCACCCCCATTTAGTTACTTCCTCTAATGGAGGCAAAGGCAGAGATGGTCTTGTAAACATTCTCCTAGGTACACAATCATATGTCACATGTATAGTTTTGTTAGTGAGTAAGGCGCATAAACTAAGTCACAGTAGAAATGTACTAGCACAGGAAACATTCTACATTACAGATTTTAGAGATTTTTCATTACCTAAAGGAAGAGATGGGTACTATAATAAAAGACCGGAGTATTGATAAGCTCTGGCGTTACTGGTGTTTTTTATTAGTACTTTTTAATGTTTTGGTGTAATTTATAATCACGCAGCAGCGCTGAGCTCCTCCAACTACAAACGCACACAAAGATAAAAGCATAATCAGATGAAGTGAAGACAGAGAGGTGGAGACACTGAAGTGAACCAGGTGAAGTGAAGATTACTCCAGTTGGAGACAAGTCCACTCGTTACTGTTATATCAATAATAATAACAATACATTTTATTTGTATTTGGTAATCAAAGACACTTTACATGGTAAAAACGGTAAGGAACAAAACAAAAAACATACATAACTAACTTCGCAGGTTAAAAGCAGATTTAAATAGGTGAGTTTTAAGTGCAGTTTTAAAAGAGGCGAGTGACGGAGAATGTCTGAGGTGCTGGGGGAGAGAGTTCCAGAGGGAGGGGGCCTAGTAGAATAACTTCAGTTTTATCTGAGTTTAACATCAGGAAGTTGCAGGTCATCCAGGTTTTTATATTCTTAAAACATGCTTGAAGTTTAGTGAGCTGGTTGGTTTCATCTGGTTTGATCGATAGATATAATTCACTATCATCTGCATAACAATGAAAGTTTACAGAGTGTTTTCTGATAATATTGCCTAAAGGAAGCATATATAAGGTGAACAAGATTGGTCCAAGCACAGAACCTTGTGGAACTCCATAACTAACGTTGGTCTTCATCGAGGCTTCGTCGTTTACAAATAAACTGAGATCGATCCGATAAATAGGATCCAAACCAGTGCGATTCCTTTGATGCCAATATAATGTTCTAGTCTCTGTAACAGGATGTAGTGGTCTATAGTGTCGAATGCATCACTAAGGTCTAACAAGACAAGAACAGAGACTAGTCCTTTGTCTGATGCGATTAGAAGGTCATTAGTTATTTTTACCAGAGCTGTCTCTGTGCTATGATGCTTTCTAAATCTTGACTGAAAATCCTCAAATAAACTATTGTTAAGTAGAAAGTCACACAACTGATTCACGACTGCTTTCTCAAGGATCTTAGAGAGGAAGGGAAGGTTAGAGATCGGTCTATAGTTGGCCAACACCTCTGGATGGAGAGTGGGCTTCTTAAGAAGAGGTTTAATTACAGCTACTTTGAAGGACTCTGGTACATGGCCTGTTAGTAAAGACAGGTTGATCAGATCTAGTAAAGATGTGCTAACTAACGGTAACACTTCTTTAAGCAGCCTTTTTGTTAAGTAAAGTCAACTTATTACATGAAGTGGTGAAACAACTGTTGGTTTAAGTGAAAAGTCGCTGAAAGATGGAGCGAGCGATGAGTGTTTAAATGTACAGTAGCAAATTTGCCACTTTATATATTAATCACACAATTAACTAAATTTAGCTGGAGCTGCGAAAGTTTACTAACAGACAACATATACAATGGCAACAGGAAGTAAGACAATACGCTTACCGTTTTGTCTCACTTCCTGTTCAGAAGGACAGATGACAGGAGGACAGATGACAGAGGACAAGAGGACATATGACAGATGACAGGAGGACAGAAGACACATGACAGAAGACAGGAGGTCTGAACAGGAAGTGAGACAATACAGTAAGTGTATTGTCTCACTTCCTGTTCAGAAGGACGGAAGACAGGAGGACAGGAGAAGACAGACAGGAGAAGAGAAGACAGGAGGACAGAGGACAGACAGGAGGAGAGAGGACAGAAGACAGGGGACAGGAGGACAGAAGAGAGATGAAAAGAGGATATATGACAGGAGGACAAAAGACGGATGACAACAGGACAGAAAACACATGACAGAAGACAGGGAGATAGGAAGACGGAGGACAGAAGACAAATGACAGACGACAAGAAGACAGGACAGGAGGCTAAACGACAGGAGGACAGATGTCAGGAAGACAGAGGATAGGAAGAATGACTGATACTGACTGATGTCTGTGTTCTTCATTCTTTATAAACTTCACTCAGAAATTATATTTATTTTATTGACCTGTTACTTTTTTTCCAGTGAGATATTAATGTTATATTGTGACTTTGTTGTTGTAAACATAACTGTTGCTGCTCTATTAAATATATTTATGAAAAATATCAGAATATTGATGAGAGTAGCTCCTAGTCGGAATAAAATCTCCACCTGAAGGCCACCGTAGTTCTCTACACACTTGTAAAGGGAGGAGTGAGCTGAGGGGATTTAGTTGGTTGCAGCCTGCAACCAACTGTTTGTTAAAACTAACGTCCATAAAATGTCTGAACAAGTCTTATTTTAATTATGAAATATTGTACATTTAGAAACGATTTAACGTTACATATTTAAGAATCAACTCCAGTGTTGATGCTTATGGAAGAAGTGAAGAGATACACAATAATAACAATAATAGTGACTATAATAATCATCATCACCACAATTATCGTCATAATCATTATAATCATCAACATCGTTACATTACATTACAGTCATTTAGCAGATGCTTTTATCCAAAGCGACTTACAATTCTATCACACTGTAGGTACAGCTACGGGTGGTTTTTGGTTTCACCTGGTCAATTGCTCTGCTAAGTGGCAGGGGAGTGGCTTGCACTCCTGGCAGACAATGAGCAATCAGTAGGTAGCTGTCCTTAACTGGTGGTTGAAGCGTCAGGCAAACGAAGGCAACAGGGCGACTCTTTCAAGCCAGACTCGTCGAGCGTGTACTTACGGGTTTTTTATTGACTACCATGTGTTTGCATCCTATTTCTGTCCGTTCCTCTGTCCGATGGTCACGTAGACATTGGGTCACTCTCAGGTGCTGTGACCCCACTAACGCTTCCTTGCTCTCCCTCAACTTTCTGAGACCTGGATCACACCAGAAAACACCACCACACCCACAGCTCTGTCAGAAGTGTACTCTTTATATCACTCTCCCAGAGCTGCGAGGTGAGGTGGTGGTACTGCCCTGCTAATCTCCCCAAAATGGAAATACTCTCTTGTCTCTGTTCCACAGTTCTCCCCGTCCTCTTTCGTATTTCATGCGGTTACTGTCACTTATCCGGTCAAGCTCACTATTGCTGTTGTGTATCGCCCACCAGGCCCTCTTGGTGAGTTCCTGGAGGAGCTTGACACATTAGTCTCGCACTTCCATGACGATGGCTCAGCACTCATCCTGCTCGGCGACTTCAACATCCAGACTGATGAGTCAGAACCTCTTCCTCTCCACCTTTGACCTTTACCTCTCATCTTCTCCTCCTACCCACAAGGCCGGCAACCAGCTGGATCTTATCTTCACTAGACACTGTTCTACTGCTAACCTCTCCGTCACTCCCCTCCAGCTCTCTGACCACTATTTCATGTCCTACTCCCTCTCCCTCTCCTCTCTCCCCTTACTTCCTCCACCTACCCACATGGTTTCTACCCGTAGTCATCTCCGCTCCCTCTCCCCAGCTGATCTTTCCTCTTCTGTCTCCCTGACCCAAAATCCTTCTCTCTCCTATCCCCTGATACTGCTACTGACCTTCTCCTCTCCACCCTTTCCTCTTCTTTGGACAACCTCTGTCCCTTCACCTCCAGGCCTGCACGGCCAACCCCACCTGCCCCATGGCTGTCAGACTCAGTGCGTACTGACAGACGGAGCCTAAGAGAGGCTGAGCTTAAATGGAGAAAAGGCAAACTCTCTGGGGACCTTCTTAACTTCCAAGCTCTTCTTTCCACTTCCGCTCTAAAATCCTAACCTCTGCTTCCAATCCTAAAATACTCTTCGAAACTTTCTCTTCACTCCTCCAACCCCCACCCCCACCCCCTACTTCCTCCCTTCTCCCTGATGATTTCGCCAACATCTTTGACAAGAAGGTAAACGATATCAGATCCTCCTTCTCTCAGCCCTCCTCTCCCTGTCCACCATCTCCCTCTCTATCCTCTCCAGCTCTCCCCCCTCAGCTCTCCCTCCCCTCTCCTATCTTGCTCCCCTCTCCCCTAACGAGGTCCTCAACCTTGACCCGATCCCCTCCCCTCTTCTTCAGTCTATTGCGATTGAACTCCTTCCTTTTTTCACCCACCTCATCAACAAATCCCTAGTTTCAGGATGCTTTCCCACGGCTTTCAAGACTGCCAGAGTCACCCCCCTTCTGAAGAAACCATCACTTGACCCCTCTGATGTCAAGAACTTCAGACCGGTTTCTATTCTACCCTTTCTATCCAAAACACTTGAACGTGCTGTCTTTACTCAACTGTCTTCCTATCTCCACCAGAACAGCCTCTTGGACCCCCACCAGTCCGGGTTCAAGGGTGGTCACTCGACAGAGACAGCCCTCCTTGCGTTGACGGAGTCGCTTCACGCCGCGAGAGAGAACTCTTTCTCCTCTGTCCTGATTCTCCTGGACCTGTCTGCAGCGTTTGACACGGTGAACCACCAGATCCTCCTCTCCACCCTCGAGGGGATGGGCGTCTCAGGCTCTGCACTCTCCCTGCTTGCATCCTACCTGACAGGTCGATCCTACCAGGTGACATGGAGGGGGGCCGTGTCGGAACCACGCATGCTGACTACAGGGGTTCCACAAGGTTCAGTCAGTCCTGGGCCCCCTTCTCTTCTTGCTCTACACACCAACTCTGGGTTCTGTTATTTGCTCGCATGACTTCTCTTACCATTGTTATGCCGATAACACCCAGCTGGTCTTGTCATTTCCCCGCGGTGAAACTCAAGTGGAGGCACGCATCGCTGCATGCTGGGCTGACATCTCGAAGTGGATGGCGACACACCAACTTGGACTGCGAGGAACCTGGGTGTGACCCTGGATGACCAACTGTCATTCTCAGCAAACATTGCATCGGTTACATGTTTCATAACTGCAGCTGTTTGTCTGAATGGAGGATCTGAGTGAAGGTTGATGAAGATCAGTGATGATGATGAAGCTTCATTCTGACTGTTTCTTCCTCCAGGGTTGAACCTGCTGGAGATCAGTGGCTGAAACCTGGTCTGAGGAAGTGTGAGTGTTCACTTTGATTCATGAAGTCTCAAATAAACCCATCAGCTGTGTTTGATGATGAACTGATGCTGTTTCATGTCTCCTTCTCTCCTTCAGATGCCTGTGAACTCACAATCGACACAAACACAGTGAACAGAAAGATCAAACTGTCTGACAACAACAGGAAGGTGACACGTGTGGTGGAGGAGGATCAGTCATATCCTGATCATCCAGACAGGTTTGACTCCTGGCCTCAGCTGCTGTGTAGAACTGGTCTGACTGGTCGCTGTTACTGGGAGGTCGAGTGGAGAGGAATAGTTTATATATCAGTGAGTTACAGAGGAATCAGAAGGAAAGGAGACAGTGATGACTGTAGGTTTGGAAAGAACGATCAGTCCTGGAGTCTGAGGTGCTTATATGGTCGTTACTCTGTCTGCCACAATGACAGTACAACACAACTCCCCTCCTCCTCCTCCTCCTCCTCCTCCTCCTCTGGTAGAGTAGCAGTGTATGTGGACTATCCTGCTGGCTCTCTGTCCTTCTACAGAGTCTCCTCTGACACACTGATCCACCTCCACACCTTCTACACCACATTCACTGAACCTCTTTATCCTGGCTTTGGGGTCTGGGCCTACTCTGGTTCAGTGTCTCTGTGTTCTGTGGAGGGAGAGTCTCCTCCTCTGTAAAAACTCACTCTGCTGACGATCAGATTCAGATCAATAGAACAAAATATAATCAACAAATAAATCACTTTTATATATTATTATGGAGAAAACAATGAACCTTTATTGATCCCTCGGTGAAACTCAGAAATGAATACTTCAGTACTGTGAGAAGAATTCATCTGGACGGACTGCCCTGGTCAGTAGGTGTCTTAGAAGGACACTATATCGAAAACAATGTACAAAAAAGACCAAAAACAAATGAATAAAGTAACTTAAAGAGGCTACAGGGATCTGTGGCTCTCCAAAGCTTGCGCCTACTGCACACGTGTCCTACACTGAGTACACACACACACACACACACACACACACACATAGTCACCACGTATGGTTCAATACATACAGTAATGTCAAAATACACACACAAAGAAGATTGATCAGCATCAGTCTGGGGCCTCTTAGCTCCTCTCGTGTTCTTTAGTTGATATTTCATAATCAATAAGAGTAATCTAAAGGTTAAGCAACCTCTTCTTCTGTGGTGTGCTACAGGTTGCATAAGGCACCTGAGGACCATTGTAACCTTTTTATATGAATTGTATGAACCATATGAACTATCATCAACCTCATGTTGTTGGATTGCTTGAAGGTGACTCTTGCTTGGGGACAGGGCTCCTCCCTCATCAAGGTAGCAGTCAGACAACGCTGCCTAAAGAGTACACATGTTGAGAGGTTTACTCTGCTATATAATCTAAGCTCGTATAATCGGTTGTCACTGTGATATCATGTTTTCATTGTGTTGAACCAAACCGTGAGCAAGAGCGTCATAAGTCCAGAGTACAAGTAGGAACCACTAAATTCAGCCTTGAAAGAAGAAGTCGACTAAAGGCCTTAAGCAGGCCACGCAGCCTGTCAGGGGGGTGCAGTGCTCCGCGGCTCAGGCTGATATCAACCTTCGATTTTGTCAAATTGAGGCTGGCTCTTCGGCTTGTGCGCTGGCAGAGGAAAGGGAAGGTGCAAGTCTTAACTGGTGTTAGATTTTAAATTGAACTTTTCTCCGGACTTTTGGCACGACACTTTGCTCACTGGTGAAGGCTTCACTCTATTCGGGTGTTGCAAACTGTGTGTCAAACATTTTCCTCTGTATTTGTAACCAAATAGATATACTTTGAATCGATTTAAATAAACAAGTTAAAGCTTATTTTCTACGGCTCCATCTTTTCATCTCGATCGGGACAAAGAACCTAGAGAGAGGGGCCTCTTCTACGGGGTACCGCTCAGCCCCTGAGGTAAGCTGAAGATGCTCACACCACGGCACACGTACTGATTTCAACACACACACACACACACACACACACACACACACACTCACACACAGGGCCACAGGCAGTAGGGAAGGAGGAGAGACCTGGGTACAGTGTGAAAAAGATTTAAACCAGTGGATCACAGAGTAGGAAGATAAAAATGATTCTTGTTGCCCCGAATAGCTATCCGAGCACTATACGGTATCGAAACCAAAGTATAAGGAGTAGGGTGTGAATTAAAATAGAATTGTCCAAAACAAGAAAATAGCAGACCACCGTCATAGGTTTATCTCTTTAGAATGTATTCTTAGAACGTGCAGAAGAGAAACGAGGAGCACGTATTCTTACTTTCATTGTGAATGCAGGACTTTCAGGTTTCACTACTTCAACTTAAAGATCCGTTGAAGACTTTTGGATGAATGAACATAATATTAATAAGTATATTTTCATCGTCACTTGAAGATAAGAATCGTGTTTCGTTCCAGCTGCATGTGAAAGTTCAGGCTCCTCGCTGCTTGAACTGAATCGTTGTTTCCGCTCCTCGTCATTCCCCCGACAGATGAGGAAACATGGGTCAGCCACACTTCTGGAGTTACGCAATATCTCTTATTCAATCAGTATGAAAGCATCCTTTCCAGCCGTGAAATTGGAGCGCATCCACGAGATTACAAATCATTATGAGCGGAAATGAGCATAACTAAGCAGCAGTTTAACTTAGTCTATCCTCGGCGTGGTGATGACGGCCGGCTCAGGATGCCGGCGGGCCTGCAAGTAGTCGCAGTTTGGTCGTGCACCTCCCACTTTTCAATTTGCCGCGTTGAGAAATGTTCTTCTCATTTCAAGTAAAGTAAGGGATGTATTTATAGATTAATTTACATAACAGAAGCTTTTAATAAAGTTGCATCTTAAAATAAAGTACTTCATTTTAGGAAATCAATTTAACTTAAAATTCAGTTCATTCAGGCTGAAGTGATGTCAATCAAAAAGTATGACATTACATCTTATCTTCTAAAATGAGAAATTTGTGTATAGAAACTGTATGTGTGGTTATTAACACTTGTTTCAGCTCTATTCTCTCTGTTAACATCATTGTTGGGCAGTGAACTCATGTGCTAGGATTCTGATCATATTGGGCTCTTAGGTCATTCTGTGCCTTATTTAGGATTGATTGGGTGCGTTTGCTCAAAAGATTTGTGCTTGGTCTCATAGTGGCGCTTCACCTTGCTGCTTTGAATAATCGTAACGGTCTCTGGACATCTGAGACGCACTGGTTTAAACTGTCGTGGGAGGAATGAACATTTAAGAGTCTGTCCATTCTTTGTTAAAGGCACTAGTCTCACTGTCCACATTCCTTTTTTTGGAGAACGCATGTGTAATAACTTCTCTGACTCACGTACTTCTTCTGTTGGGTCTCCCTCCCCAACTCTCGTCTGCATGTGTAAATCGAACTGGAGTTGCGACGCTGCTGGACGCTATCAGAATACACATATTTGATTGGCCGAGTAGCATCACGTGATGTGATGTGCAACGCGTAGTTGGCGTGTTTCCTGGACCTCTGAACGAGTGCCGTAAAGGCTAGAAAAGCTGCACCGCTTAAAATAGAAGCGCTCCATCAAAACTATATAATTCTCAATTATCTATCAGGTGCAGGTCCAGGGTCCAGATACAACAGCATCTGGGTCCGGACCGTGGTCTGGCTGTTAGTGACCCTGGCATAGAGTATAAATGGCTCCATTCAGGCTCAGAAATCAGGCACGTTTGCGGAGGCTCGCGATGCAGCGCAAGCAGATTAAAACGAGCTTTATGCTCCCTCTCAATTTTCCAGGCGCGTCATCCCTTAGGAACGCTCTTTCCTTTCCTGCTCGCTGGAAATGGCAGCTTCCTTGTCCTAATATGCACAATCTGTCTTAATGACGGGTGCCGTACTGACCTGCGTGTCAGGTCACTCTGTGCTATCACTGGAACGGTGTAACATTTTCTACAACAAGCTGGTGATTTCTCTGAATCACTAAAACGTCGATACGGATGCAGGACAACCGTGGGTTTTTGGGGGGTTCTGTCAAGACCAGTGGTTTGCTGGACACTTTCCTCCCTCTTTTCACAGTTTGATTTCCATCCTGTGTGATAATCAAGCTGCTGTTATCATCAACTGAGGGTGCTCCTCTTCCGAAGACATCATGCACAATTTTGGATCTGGCCTGTCATCTTCGTCATTATAGCTTTCAACTTAAACACTCCAAATGCCTAGGTGCGTGCTCTGTAATTTCGGCTCGTACAGACTTTTTTTGGCCTTTTATATCCATGATGAACTACCTATGTTTAAGACGTACTACTTGCTCCACTTCTCCTTACCCCAGTGTATCTTCCTTTGTCTAAATTAAGGTTAACTATCATTTAGAGTTAATCCTGACTAAAAGTAACCACCTCAACATTAGTCGGGGCATTCTTTTAGAATAGGGGCTGCTACTCCGGCTGCAAACCAAGGCATCTCATCTCCATCCCTGCAGCAAATGGGACGTTGGTCTGCCTTCACCACCTACATTTGCCCCAACCTCAATTCAAGACTCGTAAATCAAGCTTATTAAAGCCTTAACAATGTCCAGTAAGCCATGCATATAACTTGGTGGTGGTGTCATTTTTACTTTGTTTCTTGCATTATTGGCATGTCATTTCATTCGTTTTATGCTCACCAGAGGCTGGGTAAAACACTTCCATAAAGTGTCGCTGTCTTAGCTAAAAGAACCAGCTGAAACAGGCCAAACTTAGGGGAACTTCCCTAAGCGCTTCCCTAACCAGAAGAAAGAGGACTTCCAGTCTGTCTCCTGGAACTGAAACTTCAGACAACGTGGAGCAGGTAGAGAAAAACATCACACTCTTCCTTCCTGCTTCTCTTCAGGACGAACGATTCTTTTCTCCGATTCAGAACAGCAGCTTCAACTCACAAACAATGTTCCTCGTTAAAATCACGACATTATTCCCTCTACTGTAACTACTATTTTTTTCTGAACTAACCACGGTTATTCTGATGACACAAACTATTTGTCCCATAAATTCTATGGCTTGTATATCTTGCAATATAAATCTTGTTCTACTGCCGACAATAATCGGGCCCATCAGGGTTTTGCAAAACATTAGATATCATGTTGTTCACCACTGATGAAGGTTAGGCTCTACCGTACAATCAGGTTTTCTCTGGACATGTGTTAATCTTATGAAGGACTCTGAGAGCTCATCCAGTACCTGTAGTACCTCCTGGAATCGTTTCATAGGCGTACCGTTCTGCTTTGGACGATTCGAATTCAGCGTAATGTAAAATAATCGAATATCTCGTCTCATCAGGTAAATCCTGGTCCTGTGTATGAGAACATCTCAGCTCAACCAACAGATCACAATGATCTCGTCTACAGCAGAGTCCACTTCCTTCAGAGCACAGTCCAGCCAGATCCAGATCCACATCCGGATCCGGATCAGGGCCCCTATGCAGTTATCAACTTCAGACCCACCAGGAGACCTGAGTGAGAAGCTATTACGACTGATTCAGGATTTATTTTGAGGGATACGTTGTAAGAACTATGTGACTTTTACAGGATGGGCCACATGTCTTAGATCCTACTGGTACGAGTTTGATCAAACTTGTGGGATATTATATTTTTACTGTGGAGGTAAATTCCAGGGTACTTGAATCACACATCATCTGAAGGCGTGACAAACTGGGTTACAGATTGTGTAATGTCATTGTGAGCGTTAGCAGAAATACATAGCTCCTCTAATAATGTTTAAATACTTTACCACAGCACATTAATGCATTATTAGGTTTACTGTCAGGCATGATGGACCGGCAGGAGATCCGTAGAATTTGTAAACCCGTAGAGACTGAATGGAACGACACACAACCTCCTGGACCTTCAGAACCTGTATAATAATTATTCAGCAGAAAGACTGATGCTAGGGGTCTCTGTGGTGCCTTTTCAGGGGTATGATGCTTTTTATTAGAGTGAATTCAACTTTGTCATTTCACAACAGGTACAGTATGAAGGACGGGTACCTTTAGTTGATGTTTCACTTAATTTTTTAAGATTCAGTTACAAACCTTTGTGGCATATTTCAATCATAAAAATACATAAATTGGTGTCAACACACAACATTACAGCTGCTGGCCGGACATTTTTTGAGGAGGAGGAGGAACACATTTTATACAAAATCTGTTATTCTACAAGCACAGCACAAGTTTTAGTTATCTAGCAGACGTCTTTACAGAGCTGCAGCAACATAGAAGTGAGTTTTGGTGGAGGCGTGAACCTTTTTGCGATTGGATTATGGATTGTACCTTTAAATAAAGTTGAATAAAGTGAAATAAAGTTGAATAAAGTGAAATAAAGTTGGATAAAGTGAAATAAAGATGAATAAAGTGAAATAAAGTTGAATAAAGTGAAATAAAGTGAAATAAAGATGAATAAAGTGAAATAAAGATGAATAAAGTTGAATAAAGTGAAATAAAGTTGAATAAAGTGAAATAAAGTTGAATAAAGTGAAATAAAGATGAATAAAGTTGAATAAAGTGAAATACAGTTGAATAAAGTGAAATAAAGATGAATAAAGTGAAATAAAGTGAAATAAAGTTGAATAAAGTTGAATAAAGTGAAATAAAGATGAATAAAGTGAAATAAAGTTTGGACAAAGTGAAATAAAGTGAAATAAAGTTGAATAAAGTGAAATAAAGTGGAATAAAGTTGAATAAAGATGAATAAAGTTGAATAAAGTGAAATAAAGTTGAATAAAGTGAAATAAAGTTGAATAAAGTGAAATAAAGTGGAATAAAGTGAAATAAAGTGGAATAAAGTGAAATAAAGTGGAATAAAGTGAAATAAAGTGGAATAAAGTGAAATAAAGTTGACTGTTGTGCTCTGAATTCTTCACTAGCTCATTGATCAAATATAGAGAAGTAGTAAATTAAAGTTACGAGTGTGACTGCTACAAAGAAACAACACAAGTCCATATTAATATATTTTATTACCACACGACACTTCAGTGATTAATCCAAATACACAAATCACAAGAAATCATTTCTAGTTCACGTTGTGCGAGTAGCAGTAAGTCTTCACTTTGTCCTTCAAGTAAAATCAAAGTCCAGTCGTGACAGAAGACGTTAAATCAAAGACACTCAGTGGACAGAGGTCTACAGCCAGTCAGAGAGTTTAAATATCGTCAGGAAGTTTTAGAGGAAAGGCCTGAATGTATAAGTACTGCAGGGTCCCTCTGATCATTTGACCTGATACTACAGAGTACTCTAGATGATGTACAAGTACTGCAGGGTCCCTCAGATGAGGAACAAGAGAAGGAGGAATGAGGAGGAGTTTAATCACAACCAATCAGAGTTGGATTCAAACTCTCTGATCATGGACGGATTAGGAGACAACGGTCATTTAGCATCTCCTCGTGATAGTTTAGCTTTTTTTAAAGTCATTTAGTGACTCTGTGGTCGTTTTGCATCTATTTTTAGATATATTATGTTTCCATGTGGTCCTTTAGAGCATCCTTGTCGTCGTTTTGCATCTATCTGTCATGTTTTACGTTTTCATCTGGTGGTTTTGTGTCTCTTCGTCGTCATGTCGGGTTGTTTGTAGTTGTTTTGTGCGTGTTAGTGATCATTCAGCGTGTCTTTGTGACGGTGTTGTGTTTCATCCAGTAACAGGTAATCCATCCACGTCTCCAAAGAGAAGAGGAGGGTTCAGTTGAAGACGGGAAAACTCCTCACTCTTCTTCACTGGTTGGTAGACAAACGGTAAACTTAAAGAAGCATGATAGTTATCAGGTCAGTGATGAGGTCAGTGATGCTACGTTACTAGCCTCTCGTTGAGTCAGTCCTTTTCCTGTCTGTTATATGCGTGTGTCTAGATTCACACGCGTGTTCCTGCGTACGGACATTTCAGTGTAAATATGAGTCACTGTGGTCCCGTCGTCTCCAGGAGTCTGAAAGAAGAGCCCACCAACACAGACGTTCCGTCTCGTCTCCTGACTCCAGCACAGGACTCTCCTCTGCTCTCGTTGGTCCCGGGTTTCGCAGCCTCTCCTCCTTGTGTCTCCCGTGCTTTCAGTTGTCCAGCAGCACCTTTGCCAGGAACTGGAGGGTTTCCCTCTTCTCGTACAGGTACATCTGGGTTTCCCACAGCATGTCCACCAGGACGGCGTCACTCACCTCATCCAGCATCACCTCCTGAGACAGCTGGGGACTCAGTCTGCACAGAAGAGCATGAACCGTAGACCAGAGCTTTAGAAACCATGAAGCAATGAGACCATCACTAATAGCAGAGGTCTGTGGGCAGCTTTGCTCTCAGGTCCACATGTGCTGCTTCATGAACTGAGTAAACGTGATATGACTGTTAACATTGTTTGATGGCATGTGTTCTCTGAGTTTATTCTTTGACGAGGCCGTCTGGTTGTGAGAGCAGCCACAGCACCTGATTGGTTGCTCTGTATCCGTCTAATCTGTGACTTTAAACGCTGCAGCACTTAGGACAGACTGATGGTTTACAACACAGCAGAAGAAGAAGAGAGATGACGAGAAGTGGGCCAAAGAGCAGACGGAGTGATAAAGATGTGACGTCAGAAACAAACGGTTGAATTCGACTGCAGAGGAAGAGGACTAAAGAACAGCGGGTTCACCGTCAGCTGACCTGTGGTAGACGGTGTCGATCATTTCACACCAGGCTCCAGCTCTGTCCACCGTACAGCCATCAGAGTCCGTACACTGTCCAGAGAGAGAGAGAGAGAGAGAGAGATTCTAAATCATTGTTATTGGTACTACGTCCAGAATATCAGAGATATAATAAAGAGGCTCCAGAACAAGTGGGCGGAGCTTAGGAGGAGGTAGAATAACTCTTGGAACATGTTAAAGCTGACTAGCAAGTTCTGTTGGCTGGTTAGCGGGCTGGTTAGTTAGCGAGCGGGCTAGTTAGCGAGCGGGCTAGTTAGCGGGCTCTGATCTCTGATTTAACCGAGGAGCAAAGTGCTCCGATCACAAACAGCTGGAACCAGGAGCTGAACTCGTAGTCCTACAGGACACACACGTCTGTGGGCGTACTCACACAGTCCACCAGCATCTTGCCCAGCTCCTTGGCTCCTACGAAGCTCTTGGCCAGCTCCAGAGGGTTGGAGGGTCGGAAAACATCCACGGAGCTCACCACCACCTGAGGAGGTTTACCTGGAGAGACGCGGCAGCAAACAAGTGTGTTTGTTCAGAGACAAAGCTCAGTTCAGAGCTCGTTATTCACGATGTGCAACTTGTCCTGCGTTTGACATTCCTGAATGCTGCCTCCTGTCTTAAAGAATGTCAGGACTCTGGTCCATAGGGCTCGTTGGTTTAAGACAACGATCCACTTTGTGTCTTATCTCCGAACTCGAGGCTCGACGTTACGACTACGTCCACTTCTTATTAATAAGACTATGAATGGGACCCAAAGAGACTTTTTCCCACAAACTTACGCTGAGAGAAAGACATCTGCAACTCAGAGGACAATTTATTTTGAGGAAGATCAACTTCCCAGTTTGAACACTTGAATGTCGTACTTAAAGTTGTAAAATGCACTAACAGCTGAATCCAGAGATATTATCCTTCTTCTGTTAATAACAATGAGAACAAGGCGGGAATTGAGGGCTGGGAGGCGGGGCTAAAAGAGACACGCGTGAGCATGCAATGCATCCTGGTACATGTAGGCACAGCCGGCACAGAACTTTCTCTGTCAATAGATAGTCAGGCGTCTTACCTGTACCCAGAGAGACCACTATACCCAACTTCTTGATCTGGGTTCCGTGGCCCTGAGAGGGAGGAGGGTTAAAAATAAAAGAAAGGAGGAAACAGATCATTTATTGATCTAAAAACCCCACAAATGCTTTAAATCGCCACACAGGTAAGTGATTGAATGTGAACTGAACGGATGACCACGGGCAGAAGGAGAAGGTCATGTTGCCTACCTCTGCTCTCAAAGCTTTATTGCACTGATGGATCTCTGACATGGCGTCCAGCGTCGGGTTGTTGGCCAGCAGCCCTCCGTCCAGAAAGCGGCCCATTGGTCGGAAGTAAGTGGGGGCGGCGCCGCTGGAGCGGGCGGCTCGCCACACGAGTTGTTCTGGTGTCAAGATTTCAGGATTTAAGGCACTCAAACACATCCACAAGTCATCAACGCTGAGAAACGCCAAGACATGAAACACGTCAGCGTGTGTTTGAATCACAAGTAAAGGAAAAGTTTGACATGAAGTAGAAGTATTCTATTTCTTGCTGAGAAGAGGAAGATGGATACCAGTCTGCTCCAGCACCAGCAGGCTAGCTTAGCTTAGCATAAAGACCTGAAACAGCTCTAAGGCTCATTAATTAAGACAAAAAAACTGTCAAACTGTCCCTTTAAACATGGGAGCGTGTGGGGCGCCGCCCTCTTTAAAGTGCTGAGCGTGCTCTCTCTCACACAGACACACACCTTCATCAGTCACCTTCCTACGCTTTGCGGTCGGCTCCTCTGCGTATCCTACTACCAACACATCCTCATCCTCCCATCCTGCAAACAACAACATGGCTGCACTCAAACAACACGCCACAGCTGGACTTGTTCAGCATGCACATTCAGAAGTAGCTTCAGTAGCCGCGTTCACCCGGTGACTCGCAAATGACTCTTTTCAGATCAGCCGGGAGTCAACGCCACCCCAGTGGTTGCGATCAGTGCAGTATGACCCCAGTGAGCCAATCAAAGAGCAGCTGTAGGTGTTCAGGTACCTTGTGGGATGGTGAGGGGCTTGAAGGTGGCGGTGGTGGCGTATGGAGGCTCTCTGTGCACGGAGGGAGGGTCATAGTTCCTGAAGATGTGCAGCTCGCCTGGATGTCTGTCTGCTAGAACACTGGTCACCATCACCCTGAGCAGAAGCACACACAGAGAGAGAGAGAGAGAGAGAGAGAGAGAGAGAGAGAGAGAGAGAGAGAGTCAAACCTGAACAAAAGAAGTTGATGAATCATCAGACAAACATGTCAGTCAGTGAGCTTTACAGTATATTTATATCTTCTAGCCAGACGTCAACCTCCGGTTCTTTAAAGTGAAGTCAAAGCTTCATGTGTTGAAGCTGGATCTTCTTCTTCTGGGAACGTTTTTAGTGTGTGTTTAAATATTGTGCTCATGTTCGTGTGGTAACACAGTGCTGGCTCACACTATCAGCTAGAGATGCTATCGTGAGGGTTTTATTGATACGTTTCTGCCCAGTGGACACACTCAACATGAACAGTTACCTGGGGTAACGGACATCCGTCATCTTGGTGTTCTCTCCAAACTCCTTCTTCAGGAAGTCCTCCAGCGGCGCCGACTCATAAGGTCGTGACCCCTTGAACACCTGCTCCTTCATCCTGAAGTACAGGCAGAGCAGGTACTCCATGGACTTACCTACGCAGAGCAGAACACATCACGGTCGTGTCCATGCTTCGTCACAAGAACCACGTGAAGATAAGGAAGGGAAGCACACACACACACACACACACACACACACACACACACACACACACACACCGTGGACGATGGCGAGGGCCAGGATGCCCCCGGTGCTGGTTCCAGCCACCCAGTCGAAGAGCTCCCTGATGGGCCGACCGGCCTCTCGCTCCAGAGCGATCAGCATCTGGATCAGCACCAGGCCTTTAATACCTCCACCGTCCAGACACAGCAGTCTGTCCGTCCTGCAGAGGAGAGGATCACAACACGGGTTTCTCAGCGCATACGTTGTGCGACGCACAGATCGTACAGATGAAAACATTCATCAATACAGACGGCACAGTGACTCACTTCCTGTTCTCCTTCTTGGCGCCGTCCGCCTCAGATGTGCCTCTGCTCATTGCGCTGACTGCAGCGCCCGCATACAGGACGTCCTGAAACCCTGTCGGCCAATCACAACAGCCAATGATATGGGGGCCGACACACGGCATCAGAACGTGTGCATTCAGGAGGGAAAAGGAGGCGCTGGGGTTTTCTACAAGCATCATGGGAGTTTCATACCCAAGAACAATCCATGCCTTCAGTAACCACCAGCACAGCTTCAGTATGCGGCTCATAAAAGGTGTTTGGGAGCAGAGGAACGAGAAACGAGACCTCATTTGTTTTGGTCAGTGCATCATATTAACATCACACCTTGCAGCTCAGGCTTCACAGAAAACAAAACAAAATGTCCCCCAGAGAGCTTACATCTATAATCTCCAAGAATTTCAATTAAATAAGGAACGAACTGTTCGACTGTGTCGTTACTGGGAAAACAAAATCACAATCTCCAAAGAGAACCAAACAGAGACCTTCAAGATTGAGACTTTAAAGGCAGAACAAGTAGGATTCTCCTAAAGTAAAGTAGACTGAGACAGAAATAATTCCTCTCAATCATCACTTCTGACCTCGAGAAGTGATTTTATTATCTTACTGTTTCTGGACATCAACCTCTGTAAAAGCTGCAGGTGTCAGATGGTCAGCATGCATCGTGCACACGGTGCAACAGGTGGATCAGAAGAGTGAAGTCAGAGCTTCATGTGTTAAAGCTGCATTCTCTCTAG